AAACCCTGTAAGACATAAAATTGAATGATACAATACTGAACTCAGTATAAACCCTACAAGACATAAAATTGAATGAGGTTTTAACCTTTGAAAAAGATCTCCATTTCATTTTAAAATATACTGTTTCTTACAGAAAGACTCGTTTTTGCTAATAACACTTAAATGTTGGCATATGTATGTCTAATCTGTATGTATCTGATTATTACTGGTAATGGTCGGTTGCACTCGAATCCTTGGCACCTGTATATGGATATAAAGTCATCAGGTAGATTTCAGTGGTCATGTTTATCACCTATACTGCTTCACATGATGTAAATTTTTATGCTTCCTCCTCAAATATAACTCATTTTTTTAATTTGTTGATTTTTTTGTACACTTTTAAAAAAATTTTTAATAATTACACGATTAGATGAAGCATTTCATTATAGCTTTAACATATTCAGTAACACACTCCAGAGCAAGAGTATATCTCTTTCACAAGTGGCTGTAAGTTTCGAGGTTCACAGTTGAATTAATACAGATATAAAATATTGAACTCAGTGTAAGCCCTGTAAGACAAAAAATTGAATGAGTTTTTAACCTTTAAAAAAGATCTCCATTTCATTTTAGAATATATTGATCCTTGCAGAAAGACTCATTGTTTTTGCTACTAACACTGAGATGTTGACACATGAATCTCTAATCTGTATGTATCTATTACTAGATGTCTGTTAAGTCCATTTGATATATAGTATTGTTTAATTCAGATGTCTCTCTGTTAACTCTCTTCCCTGTTGACCTATCTAATGGGGACAGTGAGGTATTAAAGTCCCCTACTATTAATGAGTTGGTGTTAATCTGGGTCTTAAAGTCCTGTAGTATTGTTTTTATGAAGTTGTGTGCACCAGAGTTTGATGAATATATGTTCGTCATTGTAATATCTTCTTGATTCATTGTTCCTTTGATGATCAGAATGAAGTGGCCCTCTTTATCTCTTCTGACTAGTTTTACAGTTTAAAGTATTTTGTCAGATATTAGAATTGCAATGCCTGCTTTTTTCTTAGTACCATTCGCTTGGTATATTTTTTTCCATCCTTTCACTTTAAGATAGTGTCTGTCCTTGAAAGTGAGATGAGTTTCTTGCAGACAACAAAACGATGGGTTTTGTTTCTTAATCTATTCACCTAGTCTGTGTCTTTTGACTGGGGTGTTCAGTCCGTCAACATTTAAAGTTATTAATGAAAGATGAGTATTGAATCTTATCATTTTTATTTCTGTTTACATTCATGATGTAGCTGTACTTTTCCACAGTTATACCTTCATTGAAATTTTTTCCACAACCCCTTGGGTATAGTCATTCTTTTCTTCAGCTCTTTGTGTGGCTTCCAGAATGCTCTGAAGGGCTGGTTTTGTGGACATGAATTCCTTCAGCCTATTTATGTCATGGAAGATTTTTCTTTCCCCTTCGACTATAATTGACATTTTGGCTGGGTATAGTAATCTGGGTTGGCATCTGTGGTCATTTAAAACTGGAAATACTTTGGTCCGGGCTCTTCTGGCTTTCATAGTTTGCACTGAAAAGTTATCTGTAATCCTAATGGGTTTTCCTTCATATGTGACTTGTTGTTTCTCTTTTGCAGCTTTCAGCATTGTCTCTTTCTTTTGTACATTTAGTGTTTTTACTATGATGTGCCATGGAGAGTTTCTTTTCTGGTCCTGTTTGGTGTTCTAAGTGCTTCTTGAATTTATATGGGCATGTCTTTCTTTAATTTAGGGAAATTTTCTTCCACGATTCTGTCGAAAATCTGGTCTATGCCATTATCTTGGGATTCTTCTCCTTCCTGTATGCCTATGATTTATAAATTTGGTTTTTTAT